CCTACAGGGCTGCAGGATCTGTAGTTCTGAAGTGCAGCCCAGAATTTCCTACTTTGGTCAGAACAGGTAGCCATGGAATTGTGCAAGAGCTGAGGCAAAGAGGAAGCTGCCCAGAGAAGCTGTGGCTGCCCCATCCCTGAAAGTGTCCAAGGCCACAACGGATGGGGCTTGGAGCACCCTGGGCTAGTAGAAGGTGTCAACAGCAGGGGGTTGGAAAAGATGTCTTGAAGGTCCCTTGCAACCCAAACCATTCCTTTGCTGCATGATAATGGATGCTGGACCCCTTCCCATGAACTGCTCGTCTCACCAAGCAGGGTTCAGGCACATTCCTCACAACAGGACAGGGAAATACAGCCAATAACCTGGACTAGGCACTGTTTAGCTACAACTGTCTCTGCCAAGTCCTAATTCTTTTTTTTTTCCTCTTTCCATTCTTCTCTCTGTATTTCCTGCTGAGCCTTACCATGTTCTCCTTCTCAACGTCCTCTTCAGGCAATAGGTTCAAAGCCTGGGTTACTGTCAGAATTGGAATTTGTTATTCCTGTCACAATGCCATATAATGCTCCCAGACCTTCTCCTGTGGTCATCTGAACCCTGATTAACTCCATGTTAATCATCTGAGAGAATGTCACCCCATTCTTCAGTCTGGATGGTCTTATGTGGATCTCAGTCATCATTAAAAAACAGACAGAACCTCTGCCTGCTGCTGGGAGTTTCACTGCAGAAGTTTTGGCCATCGGATGAGAAATTGCTTCAATTAATCAATTTTTCACTGAGCTTCCAGAGATGGCAGCTGCACTACATGTGACTGCTGACCCTGATAAATGGCTTCAAGAACTCTTTCTGTGTCTCAGGGGAGCAGTGAATGCCCTGAATGCTGCAGGCATGTGGCAGAGTAGAACTGGTGCCTGGTCTGCACCTCCAAAACCCACTGGACTCTCAGTCATCTCTGCTTACTAGGGCAAGGGATCCCACAGAACATTCTTTGCTGGCGAATCAGAAAGTGGCCAGACATTTGGAATATCCAGGGGATCTTTCTGCAGGCCAGAGGAAGGGAAAACTGGCAGAAGAATTACATGTTGTAATTTTCTTTGTGAAGTGGTTACTGAGACACCTGTCAACGTGTCCCACAGTGGCAGCATGTGAACCTTTCAACCTTAACTGTCCCATGCAGCAAGGGTACAGAGTGGACCCAGGGAAATCTGAGCTGTGGGGAGTCACCAGCACAAAATCTGATGTTTACAGCAGCTGGAAATGAAATGTCATCCTGCACGCAGAAGGCATCTCTTAGCAGATTATCTGAATAATCACAGAATCCTTTGGACTGAAAAGCCCCTTGAGACCCTTGAATCCAACTGCTCTCCCAGCACTGCCAAGGCCACCACCAACTCATGTCTCAGTGCCACATCTACAACAGCAATGCTCATGTCACATTCACTATCCTGCAACCAATCCCTTCCCGTGCGTTTTTATTCAAGAGGTTGCAAGTATAAGGAAGGCTAAAATGGAGAACTTAAAAAAAAGGACAATCCGGGTAAGGTCTAATTTGGAGAAGAACCATGTGCTGCCCTTGACTTTTACTTCCCACACACACAGATTTTAGAAATGCACTCATCAATCTCCTCTTCCTCATTAAGACTACAAAAATCCAGCAAATGGGGCCTGATAAGCAGTCTAGACGTGTCCCATGTAACTGTAAAATGCAAAGAATTCCAATCCTGCAGGGTTTGGAGGTGAATTTCCATTGTCTGGAAAGTTTTGGTTGCCAGAAAAATTGCCTAGAACATGAGTGAATCTGTCCTGAGCCACAACCCTGCTCTGACACAAGCATACAGACATTTCCACACTTACAGAATCTCAGAATCAGAGACTGGTTAGAGTTGGAAAGGACCTTCAAACCCATCTCGTTTCACCCCCCTACCATGGGCAGGAACACCTTCCAACAGACCTTCCAGGTTGCTCCCAACCCCATCCCAGCCTTAAACCTTCCAGGGATGGGGAAACAACAACTTTTTCCTTTGGCATGCAATTTCCCCTAAACCATATGAAGAGCAAGACCTTTTCCCCACCTCAGAATACTCCTATTGCCAGGTCACAGCAAATCCAACTCTCTTTCTACCCCTCAAATGCAACTGTAAAGTCCCTCAGGTAAATAGGAGTGAGACCAAATGAAAACAACTTTCTCTCCCTAAAATGCAGCTCCCACGTGTCTATCTAATGGGGATGGGACACACTGTGGTCTCCTGATCCAGGGAGAACATCTGCACAGGGAACTGGAAACCGGTGCTTAGCACTGCTGCCACTGTCACTGCTCTGGTTGGAGGTAGTTTGCTGCTACTGACCTATTTTTGGCCTCTCTTACAGCTGAGCTTATTGCAGCTTCCACAAATCAAATATTTTCAGCAGCAGAAGGATGTGATCAGTACTTCTGTTCCTTCACAGGTGCCTCTTCCCTTTCTAACTGTTCTAGATGGAGAACCCAATCCTCAGGCCAGGCAAGATCCACAATTGACCCCTCCTGACCCTAGCCAATTTAGAGTGAGCAACACGGAACCATCCCCTTCCTGTCCTCACACACATGTCCTGAGGTCTGTCAGGCTCACACCTATGGAAAACTCAGCAAGTGCTAGCCCGTGTGCCTGTGCACACCTGTCCACACGCATCTGTCCTTGCTCCTGCCTGTACGTGCATGGCTGTGCCAGGGCTCGTGGGCCATGTCAGCACTCAGTGCACACCCAATCCCTGTGTGTGGAATTCAGGGGCCTCGGGAGCTCCTTCCCAGCTCCTTGCCCACCGCAGTCCTTGGCCCTCAAACCACATCCCCTCTGTCCCAATCTCCTGACCATACATCGTTACAGCATTCCTGGTACAAACAGAAGCCTGGCTTGGCCTTTGTTAGGGGGAGCTCAATCAGGCTGCAAGACTCTTCCCAAAGAATGAGGCTGAGTTTGGGAATACCCACCCCTGAGGGATTTCTCAAAGGGAAATGGACACAATTGTATGAAGTGTTTGATAAGCAATTTTGATCTGAAGACAGAAGGGTCCCTTCCCTTGCCATCCCTGACACAGCTGGGACATTCCAGGTCCCTTCCCTCACCATCTCCAGTCCCTGCTGCCTGCACTGGAACGTTCTGGGTCTATTCCTACCCCATCCCCAGTCTCTGCTGCCAGCACTGGGACATTCTTTCACCCCCCTTGCCTCTCTCATCTCCTTCTGTCTCTCTCCCTTCTCACCATCATGGCGTGACTGAGAGCTCCTGCCACTGGAGCCTTCCCGCACAGAAGCAGCAACCTCCTGCTCATGTATTGCCTATGGAATGCCCTGTCCCAGATGCTGGGTGCTCAGTGCTGTGCAGAGGAGCAGGACAGGCCCTCCCCAGCCCTTGCCCTCCACCTCAGGCAGCCATACAGGTACCCCAGGAGGTACCTGCCCTTCTCCTACCTTACCAGGGAAGCCGGGCAGGTGGTGGGTAGGTAGTAGGTCACTCTCTGGCTCAGGCGGCCATGCAGGTACCCACGAGGTCTCCACCCTTCTCTACCTTCCCAGGTGAGCTGGGGCAGGTGGTGGGTCACTGTCGGCTCACTTGGACGTGCCTGCAACCTGATTCACCTGGGAGCTGGGCGAGCGAGGCTCCACCCAGGGCAGAGCGGGGGTGAGTAAGAGAGAGAGAAAGGCAAACTCCGGAGAGCTGTTCCCTCCCCAGGCGCGCAGGGAGCCAGAGATAAGGGCTGCGCATTCCTGAGCCGCCGGAGGCCTCTCCCTTCCGTCTGCCCCGAGCCTGTCAGACCAGCTCGGGACTGGCAGCGGGGCAGGGCCGTGACACAGACCCTAGCCCAGACCTCGGCCCCAGCCCCGGGAAGGGCCCTTGCCCGCTGGCCCCAGCCCGGTCGTGGCCCTGCGGCTCCCAGGAAGGGGGATTTGGGCTCCTCGGGCACTTCTCGTGCTCTGGGCCTGTGGGGGACAGACGAGCAGCAGCTCCTGGGCAGTGGAACCGTGGAACAGGAGGGGTCCGGGCAGCGCCCTCTCCCCTGCGGCGGGACCGTGCCCCGTGTCCCCAGGGGTGCCGTGGAAGGGGCTCTGAGGAGACAGCCGTAGCCTCCTGTCTGCCCCCATCACCGTCCCGCTCCCGCAGCTGGAGCCCCGCGGGCAGGGAAGGGTTAAGCGAGATTCCCCGCAGCCCCGGGCGTGGCAGCGCCTGTTCCACCTTTCAAGTCCCAGCTCGTCCCGCCCGGCCGCCGCCGCCGCGAGGGCCGGGCCGGGCCGGGCCGGGCCGGCGGTGACTCAGGCGGGGCGGGGGAGGCGCGGGGCTGAGGGGTCCCGGCCTGAGGGAGGGAGCGAGCGCCGGGCGCGGCTGGGCTGTCCGCAGGGCGGGGACAGGTTCGGGCTCCGCACGGAAAGGGCACTGAGGGGCTGCAAAGGGAACAGAGCTGGGGGAGGCTCTGGAGCACCGATGTGAGGGAGCTGGGGGGCTCAGCCTGGAGAAAAGGGGGTCAGGAGGGACCTTCTCACTCTCTACAACTCCGTAACAGGAGGGTAGAGCCAGGCTCTGCTCCCAGGTAGTGAATGACAGGATGAGAGGTCACGGCCTCAAGCTGCACCAAAAGAGGCTTAGGTGGGATATTTGGAAGATTCCTCCTGGAAAGGGCTGTCCAGCCCTGGCACAGCTGCCCAGTCCCCATCCCTGAGGAGATTGAACAGTGATGCAAATGTGGCACCTGGGGACATGGGCTAGTGCTGGTCCTGGGAGTGCTGGGGGAGCAGTTGGACTCCGTGATCATTGAATCATGGAACGGTTTGGGTTGAAGGGACCTTGCACCTCATCCAGTTCCACCTCCCTGCCATGGACACCTTCCACTGTCCCAGGGTGCTCCAAGCCCTGTCCAACCTGCCTTGAACACTGCCAGGGATGGGGCAGCCACAGCTGCTCTGGGCACCCTGTGCCAGGGCCTCACCACCCTTACAGGGAAGGATTTCTTCCCAACTTCCCAACTAAACTCACCTCTGGCAGTGGGAAGCCATTCCCCTCTGTCCTGTTCACTCCAGGCCCTTGTCTGAAGTCCATATCTCTTGGAGCCCCTTCAGACACTGGGATTGAGGTAACGATTCATCAGCTGATTGACTTATCTTCTGTGAACAGAACACTTCTGCTCTCTGATGGAATGTAGTGTTGTCTTTGTTTACATCTTTGATATAATCCCTCTTCTGTCATCAGGAAACTGCAAAGGATCTGTTTTGAGGCCCCAAAAATGATGGCATTGCTGGTACTGTTGTGGTTATGATATGGCTGTTTAAGGCAGGACCTATCAGACTGAACACTGGTGGCTGTATCAGCACCAGCCATCCCACAGACCTTGGAACGGTGCCACTATGTACATGGGGGCAGTTCAGACCTTCGGCCAAAAAGATGAACTGTAGCTGAACCCCACTGGATACAAGGAAGCTACACCATATATCTGATATCTCAGATATAAACTCAGATTGGATAAGCAGTGCCCCTGGTCTGAAGCTGTGATTCAGAATGAGCTGAACCAATCCTGCCTGTAAGTTAGAAAGCCAGTTTCAAGATGAGTTTGGAGCTTTTCCCTGTATGACACTGAGATATGAATTGGTGAAATCCCTCAGAAAGTCAGGTTTAAAGTCTTCCATTAGTTTTTCTACAAGGTTTCAGTGTGTGGCTTTACAAACTTTTTATCCTTAAATAATGATGATCTGTAGTAAGAGTCTGGAATGATCTATAAAGGAACTTAAAATCTTTGTGAACTTTGGCTTTTAGATTCTATCAGCCAGCAAGGGACCTGAGTTATTCCGAGATGTTATTACGTGAGGGAAATCCCAGTGAAAACACACTGGCCTTCCCCAAGCTTGTGGTCAGATCTACCCCTGCACTTTTGTTTCAGCCTTTATCTCATACCAGTTTAATCTACTTCATTAAGTCTCATAACCAGTATTTGAATAAAGTACTTCTCAGTAATGTAAATACAATGATTACCTTTCAGTCTTCTCACTATTAAGAACAGAAAACATTTTAAACCTTTCATTTTCTCTTTTCCCCATCACTTAAATGGTATTGGCAGACCTTTTCTGTTCCAGCTTTTCAAAACTAGCTTTCAAATCTGAATATCAAACAGGATGCTTTTACTTTCGGTTTCACTACTGTATACACAAATACGTCACCAACATTTTGTTGGAGTAGATTTGACTTCTCCTGAGCCAATTTCTTTTGTACTCCAGAGTGAATATTACCTGGAATTGCTGATTTTAAAGCTATTCCTAATGGAATAAAATGGCCTGCACCCTTCTACTTGGGAATTAATAATAAAGTTTTACTGCTTTTCTATTCTGAATGTTGATTGTGTTTATTTTCTTGTATAATTTCCAAGGTACTATTGGTTATTTTAGAGAATCTTCTTTCACTGTAAATGCAATGTACGTGTGTAAGTGGTGTTTGTTTGGTTTTCATGAATTACAATGTGTTTGCATTGTTACACCGGATTAGTGCAGTAATCCAAACTGGGTAATTACTGTTTGTCACCAGTGTCTCACCAGGCTCCCTCTGCCAATGGCCTTCTAACAAGGGACACTCATGTCCCAGATTGATGATGTCTGGATTAACGATATGGGGTAAAACAAAGCGTGTGGAATGAGGTGAGACCTAATTTCAGACTGTGGTAGCTGCTTCCACCGGGACTGCAGCTCTCAGAGCCAGCAGAGCACGGCAGGGAGCACCCTGAGCAGGAGGGAGAACACCCTGAGCAGGTGGGAGACACCCTGAGCAGCTGGGAGAACACCCTGAGGAGGTGGGAGACACCCTGAGCAGGTGGGAGACACCCTGAGCAGCTGGGAGAACACCCTGAGGAGGTGGGAGACACCCTGAGCAGGGGGGAGCAGCTGGGAGAGCTCTGCTGCACTGTTCTCCCCAGGAATCAACACAGCCCATGTGTGCCGGACAGGACGTGCTGGGGTACTGCTCCAGCCCTCAGTCTTGGCAACAGCCTGAACAGGAGCACTGCGAGGGGTCTCAACACTGATTAAGAGGGGATTGCACAGGTTTGTGTCCTCAAATGCCACAGAATTCAGAATGTGTGGGGATATGGCACTCAAGCACATGGTTTAGTTGTGAACATGGTGGTGCTGGGCTGGTGCTTGGTCTTAGTGCTCTTACAGGTCTATTGTGACCGTAATGATTCTGTGATTCCATGATTTTAAAATTGAAATCATAGAAATTTGACCTTATTGGAGCTTGGCTTCTGGCAAGTTTAGATGGGATACTGGGAGGAAGTTCTGCCCCGTGAGGGTGGGCAGGCCCTGGCACAGGGTGCCCAGAGAAGCTGTGGCTGTCCCTGGATCCCTGGCAGTGCCCAAGGCCAGGCTATGGATGGGGCTTGGAGCAGCCTGGGACAGTGGAAGGTGTCCCTGCCATGGCAGGGGGTGGGATGAGATGGGCTTTGAGGTCCCTTCCCACCCAAAACATCCCATGATTCTGTGATTACCACTCAGCCCCTGGCTTCATCCACCAGTGAGCCAGTGGCCCGCTGTGATCACTGACAGAATGTGAGGAACAGACACATTACCTGCCTCAAAGGCACCACGAGCACAGACAAGGTAATCTGGAGAGCAGGAACTCATTCCAGAGCCGCTTCTCTAGCAGTGCAGATCCATGGCCTCTTTGATAATGGAGAAGGTGGTGAATCTTCCCCTTGACTCCACATGGGTGACTCATCCCAGCTGCCCCTCTGGGTTTGATCTGCTCAGGCTCTGCATGCATACATATCAGATTATCTGGGTTAAGTGCAGCTTTGCTTTTGCCCTTTATCTGTCTGCTTTGAAGCTGTTTAACATGATCTGCCTGTTTTTATGCCAGCTCAGTTTCAGCAGTCCCAGGTACTGACTAGCACTGGGCTGATTTTTTCTGCAGTGACCGCAGGCTTGGTCACTCATCTCACACGTCCCTAATGCAATTCCCACCCCTGCTGTGCTGACAGAATTGGAAAAGTCTCTTCAGCGGTTCCACAAGTTATCCCCCTTTAGTTCTTCATAGTGACTTTTTTGATGTGGAGAAATCCCACATTATTCTACAAGCAAATCCAACATCCGCATGGAACTCTGGGAGTGAAAACAGGAATGTGGTCTTGCACAGTTTCACTGTTAGAAGTTGTTTGCTTTTTAAAAAAAAAAACTGCCTTCAATTAAAGAGGATGATGGGGAATAATCTGTGAAGAATCAGTGTTGCATTTATACAACAGGAAGCCCCAGGTGTTTGGGTACCAGGACAGGAAATTGTTGTGAGGGTTTGCTGTTCTGTTCTTTACCAGTGTTCAGCCCTGATGCCTGTCCTTTCCTTCTGGGGAACATCCAGGAAGTTCTTGACCTAAGGATGGCCCCTGGGATCAGGTCACCTGGCCTTAACCACAACCCACCTGGAGGGTCCCCCATGCAGACAGGGGGATTCAGAACATCAAGTATGACCTGAGTAAGAGGAAAACCAGACCTGCGTGGCTGGATCAATCCCCACTCCCCCTCAGAAACAAGGATATCCAGAGCCAGAGCTCACCCTCTGTCTTCAGTGGTCACAGGAGACATATTTTAATTCCTAGTCCGGGCTGGTCACAGTCTGAACCTTCCGAGGGGACGAGGTGCAGACACTGATCTCTGCGCTCACCAGGGACAGGACCTGAGGGAATGGCTATGTTGTGTCAGGGGAGGGTTAGGTTGGATTCTAGAAAAAGGTTGTGCCCCCAGAGGGTGACTGAGCACTGGGACGGGCTGCCCAGAGCAGCAGTCACAGCACCCAGAGGTGTTTGGAGAGCACTCCTGGGACATGTTGGGACCCTGGGGACGGCCCTGGGCAGGGCCAGGGGCTGGGCTCGATGGTGCCTGTGGCTCCCTTCAGCTCAGCCTCCTGTGACTCCGTCATCGACGCACACTGCTGCCGGAGCGGGCACAAACGGCTCGGCAGTAGGCACCGCGTCTGCTCTGCCCTCCCTGAGGAGAAACAGCCTCACGGCACAGCGGCTCCTGATCAGATGTTGGTTTAAGGTTTTTAAATAAACGCGGATTCACCACAACCGTGGGTCGATGTTTTCTGCAGGCAGAGAACTGCACCTTTTCACAGGCGGTGAGCAGCACGGGCCCCGAGCTGCTCCCGGAGCCGTTTCCATGCCCCGCTCCAGGATCCTCGCCCCGGCTCCGCTCGGCCTGGGCCCGGCAGCGCCGCCGCCACCGCGGCACGAGCGCGTCACCGGGGAGCGTCACCGGAGGCGTCAGCGCGCAGCGTCACGTGACGGCGTCACCGGGCAGCGCCGCCGCTGCTGCCGGTCGGGCTCGGTCCGGCCAATTCCCGCCGGTGCCGCCGCTGCTCCGGATCCCGGTCCGGCCAATCCCCGCCGGTGCCTCCGCTGCTCCGGATCCCGGTCCGGCCAATCCTCGCCGGTGCTGCCGCTGCTGCCGGTCGGGCTCGGTCCGGCCAATTCCCGCCGGTGCCGCCGCTGCTGCCGGTCGGGCTCGGTCCGGCCAATTCCCGCCGGTGCCGCCGCTGCTCCGGATCCCGGTCCGGCCAATCCCCGCCAGTGCCGCCGCTCTGTGCCCCTCTGCCGGCCCGGCCCGGCGGCAGACGCGCGGCCGCCGTTGTTGGGCACACGCGGCCGGTGCCGCCGGTTCCTCAGCCACCGGCACGGCGGGCGCACACGGGGCCAGGATGCACCGGGACAGGAGGAGCCGAGCAGGGAGGTGTCCGTGCCCAGGGCCCGGAGGTGACAGCGGGGGCTGTGCCGTGGGAGGTCCCGCAGAGCTGTGGCTCCGGGCTCTTCTGGTGCTGCATCGCTGACGGTGACTGAAAGCACAGAACCAACAAGAACTCCGCGCAGCAGGACCGGAGTGGCACTGAGGTGCGGCCATAGCCCCATCTCCGGCAGCTGTAGGTCTCCAGAAGCAGCTGTAGGTCTCCAGAAGCAGCTGCAGGCCGGTGGGCAAGGCTGGAGATCAGCATTCCCCAGGCTCCGGTTATCCCGGGTGTTCAGGCGCCAGAGCTGACAAACAGGTGAATTTGTTGGGGTTTGCAGCTTCCAGGACAGCCCCTCCTGGCCGTGGGCAGACAGTCCTTGAGCAGAATCCCACAGTTATTCCAGACACCTGCTTGCTGTTCTGTATGCAGGGAAATGCAGGGAAGGGCCAACAAAGCCATCCCTCCTTACCTCACAGACCAACAGCAGACAGCACTGACTCCTGGAACCAAGAGAAGTTGCATTTGGCAGGATTAGAGGGGTAGGCAGTGCAGGTTCACAGCTGAAGTTGTGTCCAGATGTGACATTTCCTGCCCTCCATTTCCCAGAGCCCAGCTGTGAATTGCTGCTGCTGCTCAAGGCCGTCAGCTGCAAGAGTTTCTTGCAAACCTTGCAGCCCAGCCAGCTGTGCTCTGCTCTTTGCCCGTACCACCTTGAAGATCATTCTCCCTATATATTTAACTGGGTTATTTCTGTTCCTGTTTATACAAAAAATAATAGAATCATAGCATGCTTGGGCTTGGAAGGGGTCTTAAAAGACCATATAGTTCCAAACCTACATGAATAATGCCCAAATAAATATCTCTAAATAAACAATTCCCATTGATGATGTTTCTGTGTTTACTTTTGTCTGAAGGGTTAAACTACTTCCCATTACCTATTCAGGGTTCAGTTGTGGGGGACAAATTAAAACACACAAAGAGAGGAACCTGGCAGTAAAACTGGCCCAAGGGAGAGCAGATTATCAAACAGCACAGGGCCGAGGACAGAGCCTGTGTGAGGCTGTTCAGTCCTGAACCCTCCCTGACCAAGGGCCAGGCTGCTCCTCAGGTGCCACGGCCACAGCCAAGGCCCCTGTTCCAGCTGTACCTGTCACACAGGTGGAGCAAAAAGGCTGAGGTCTGGCCTCAGGAAAAGGAAATCCACCCTCTTCTGAGACTGCTGCTCCTTCCCTGGGGTGGCACAGCATGGTACCCATCCACTGAACCAGATTCAGGAAAACCTGACTGAGCTACAGGAAATAGGGCTGGTTTTTACCAGTAAAATTACTTTAAAAAGTTTAATAATCTAAATAAAATAGTGTTGAAGCTTTTTTTTTTTTTTTTAAACACAGCCAAATAAGGAAAGCCAAGAGACTAAAGATCTTGCTGGTATCACTGTGTTTCATATTGGGTTTTTCTTCCCATCCCTGACTATTTTCAGCTGGCAGTAATTGGGGTGTGCATTAATTCGCGCTCCCAAAAGCAGGAACACCAGGAGCATCTTTGCTGGATAATGCAGTGAATAACAACCACCAGCAAAGCATTGATACTGAAACTGCAGACTTGACACAGGGCAAACCACTGTGACTAAAGGCTCTAAAACGTAAAGTAAACTTTATTATCCTTGAACCACAAAATAGATTTCTTTGGTTGTACAAATTTCACTAGTTACAGTCTTGATGCGCTAATTTTCCCTCAGAGTCTCTTAGGAGAGAACGGGAGAGAATCCAGAGCCTGGCACCAGGTACCGCACAGGGAAAGGAGAGAAGAATCACAAGTTAGTCACCAAAACCCAGCCAGGATTGTTTCCAAAACTGCTCTTGTTAAAAAGCAAATGCTAAAATTAGATTTAAAAAGGAAAAGCTCAAATTGCTGATGATGGAGGCAGCTGCAGCTGCAGCATGAGATTATCAGAGTTCCCCTTCACAAGTCTGTAAAATCGAAACATAGAGTCAGTTAAAATGATCCGCTGGATTTTGGCATGAAAG